TACTTGCAATTAGTTTTGATGTAATATACTTCTGGGAGTGACTGTTTTGTGTAGCCTCAGCATGGGGTTAATTATTTGATTAGTATTCGGGCTATTATTTGTTGGGGGGAGCTGGGCAAGGCGCATGCAGGCGGCATATAGCTGCAGGAATGTGGAGGCGTGTCTAGGGTGTGTGTGGGTGGTAGTGCAGGCGGTTCTTGTAAATCCACTTTTAGTACACACAATTTCATACAGACAGTTAACAGTTATATACACAAACATTCACACCCGCACACATACACGTAAATACATATACATACAAAGAGATTGTCATCTACTTACAGAGCGCGCTCAGCGTGAGCGCTTGGCTGGCGCCCGCTGGGGGCGGTGGCGGTGCCACGCCCATTAGCTGTGCCAAACTTAAATTGTGATGCGCATGCGTGACCAATTGTCCAGCGTTGGGCGCGAAGCTGGCACCAAGCTGACGCTGCTGGCTATTGAGAATGTTGCTGCTGCTGGGTAAGTGGCTGTTGTTGCTGTTGTTGTTATTGTTGATGTTGCTGTTGCTGCTGTGGAGGCGATGGCTGTGACTGAGGCTGCTGATGCTGCTGCTGTTGCTGTGCTGGCTAGCATTGAACAATGTTACCAGATTCTGCATAGACATGGATGCATTGGCGAGCAGTCCAGTGCCAGGAGCATGCCCGGCGGCAGCGAGACTCCCGCTGCAGCTGCCGCTGCTGCTGCCGCCGCTGTAGCCGGATGCTGGTGATGCGATGCCAAGTGGGAGAGATGATGATGATGTTGGGGGTGGTGGTGCGCCTGCTGCTGCTGATGCGGGTGACCCGGCGACAGCTGCTGCTGCTGCTGCAGCTGCGGCGGCGGCGGCGCCTGCAGCCGATAGAGTTGCTGCTGCTGTGCTGCCGGCAGCGCCGGATGATGGGCCGTGTTGGCTGTGGTGGGCACTGTTATCCGGTGGGTGGAAATTTAGTCCTGTTTTCAGTTTCCATATTTTTTTTTGGTTTTGATTTTTTTTTTTTTTTTTTGTACAGTTTTTGAGTTTTGGTTTATGGTTGTAAGGTTTGGTTGAGTTGGTTGATTGATTGATTGATTGATTGATTTGTTTTTGTACATGACCACAGAGTCAATCATAGACATACCAAAAAATGTTCAACGAATATTTATATATATAAAAAACATAGAAGAAAACACACACCCAATTGGATTATTTACATTTACAAGAAATTAAAAATTAATTTTGTTGAAATTGTTTTTTTTTTTCGTTTTTCATGTAAATATATATAACATACAAATCATAAAACATAAATAAACAAAAAAAGGGGCATACAAATTAAAAAAGTAAAGGAAAATAATAAAAAAGTATCAAATGAAAATCAAATCGTAAATAAAATAAAAATAAAAATAAAAAATAATAATACAACCAAAGTAAAAAAAAAAAAAAAATACAAATAAAAAGATAAAACACAATTTTGATAAAAAAATGATAAACAAATAAAAATTAATAATATTACTAAAAACGCATAGACATAAATTCAATTTGAAATGCAGTTAGACATATAGTAATAGCTAAATAATTAAATTATAAATAAATTAATAATTATGCATATGCATTAAAAGGCTCTAAGGTAAGAAGGCTGCTCGAAATGAAAGGCGTGGCGGTAGTGTTTTAGGGCGCTGGCCAACGGCAAACTGTTGTTTGGGTTGCAACGAAATCTTAAGAGCTCTCACTAAATTAGTTGGCAAGCAGCTACACAAAACGAAGGACTGCAGACTATGGGGGTAGAGTACACGAAAGAGGGAGGGAGAAGGAGCGAGCGACACATAGACTGTCAGGCACGTGTGTGTATGTGTGTTTACATATGCGCGCGTGTGGGTGGGTGTGTGTACATGTGTTTGTGTATGTGGCATGCCCACAAATATTGATGAACACAGACATGGGGCACAACATTCAACAAAACAGGCAACGTTTTTAGATACCTTTCTTGCTAATTTCACAAAATTTGTTTACTCTCCTTCTACTTTTTTAAAATTTTTTTCCTTTCCTAATTTTTTTTTTTCAATTTTTTTTAAGAAAATTGCACTTTGAATGAGCTGCTGTTGGCTGCTGGAAAAGCCATTATTTCAACTATCACAGAGAATGCATTTTTTTTTTGTTTCTGTTTCTATACTCTTTGTTATCACGCGCTTAAGCCTTTGGGGCTTTGTCGTCTTCATAAAATTTTAAGTGCGCTTCACCTGTGGCCTGCGGTGCACAGAGAGAAATTTTGCTGCCCTATGCAAATTGATATTCATTTTCAAAAGATTCTTTAATGGGGAATAAAAACCTTAGACAAAAGGCTGAAGTAGACTGGACTAAAATTTATTAATAAAAAAATAAAAAATAAAAAATAAATAAATAATAAAATAAAACATTATTCCTCGGTTTCTCATAGCTAGAATAGATTAGAAAATATCAGCTTAAGGGTTATTGAGTTAGACCTATTGTTTCTCTCTTCTCAAAAATATTTCTATATGATTTCACCCCTTTTTTCGCTCAGTGTATACTCATTTGTGTGTTCTTCTTCGTACTTTTTCATCCTTTCTATCTTGTGCATTTGTTTACATGCCAGCGTCCTCCTCAGTGGCCCGAGGCTATTGGGTATCATGAGCGCTCGCCTCCTTCTGCTACTAGATGCCGCCGCTGGCAATTCTTGTGTCTTTCTTAGGCCTCACCGAGCGCTGTCTTTGATGTTGCGCTGCCTCAGGATTTTGGCATGGCTTATAAAAATTGCAGCTCCAAATATGCCAGAAGTGTGGGCAAAGGCATAATTTCTGTTGCATGAAAATGTTGCTAAAGCACACGCCAAAGCTTTTTGCACATGCTCGCATGCCATATTAAATAATTAGCAACTGCCATGCCCCCCTCAGCTGTCTGGCCTTTTTTTCGCCACTAATTCAAGTGCGAGCGCGAAAAGTTCCTCATAGAAACTTTTAGCGTAAATTGGTTAAATCTGCCACATTTACAGGTTGCACACTTAACCAAAAGACGGATTCCTCTTTTTTTTTGTACTCTCTGTCTACTTTTTCTCTTATTACTTTTTTTTGGTCTAACACAAAAGGCACGTACCATACATTTGCTGACCATCAGGGAGCGCCCCCATTTAGAGTCCAAGTTTGAGTCTCGGCGTCCGTTGCTGACATTTAAAAAAAGTCATTTGTTATTCAAGTGGCATACGTCGCTCTAAGTTGCCTCTAACTGCCCATCTCTGCCCTTGGCTGTCACCGCTTACCGTTGTCGTTAACTGTTCCTCATTTGCCACCACCCAACTGCATAATACTCCACTTGCTAGAGTGTCTAACGGCTTTGTTATAAAGTTTGTCCCACACAGACTAAAGATGTATGTACTACGAAGGCTCTAGTAAATATTCGTTCTTGTTTTTGTAAATTTTATTTAGTTTTGGTATTTTGTGTATTGTAGTGGATGTCAAACTGTCATTTATAGTCATTCAAAGGCCTTAAAGATTCTTGTTAAATACGAAATATAATGAAAAAAATGTAAAATTTATTATTATATATTATTATTTGTTTAGTCAGTCAATCAGTTGGAGTTTATCATTCATAAATTTTTTCATAGTTTGTTTAGCTGGCACTGCAGATCAAAGCTTTGTATTGATTATCATCCACTCATTGAGTGGACTAACTTAATTAATCAGTCAGTTACTGTTAACTATTATTTTATATCCATGATATAATTTGGGAGCGCTGATTCCCATGAAGATGCAGGCTGAACAATGATAATTAGTCAATAAATAAGTCTAGCTTTCACTCCTTATTCGAGAAACTTTAATTTATTGAAAATATGCTTTAATTCTGTGCAGAATATGAAGATCTAAATTTATTCTTATAAGCACACATTTTATAGAAACCAAAAATCTAATGAAATAATTGCATCTTAACATTGCAAACATTAAATATTTAATATATCTATTATAATTTATTTATATTGCAGATATGCTTAAAGAGCATTTGCAGTGTCCTCAATGTAAACGAAGTTACATCAACATCTATTTTTTCTGTTTTTTTGTACGATTACATCACGCGTCGCTCAACATTTGGCTGTCTGTGATTCTTTTGGATCTTGTTGTTGTTGTTGTTGGCAACTCTTGTGCTTGATTTGTTATGCGCAAAATGTTCACGTCGTCGAGACTGGCCAGACAGACTGGACAGCCGGACGGACAGACCAGAGAGTTGAGAGGTGTGCTGTTCGGTATGGGCGTGGCATGTTGGTCATTCTAATGAAGCGCCGTTGCATATGCAACACGTTCACATTGACGCCGCGTACGTGTCGCAGTATTGGTGTCTGTCTGTAACTGTAACTTTGTATATATAAAATGTGCATGTGTGTCTGTGTTTGTTGTTGCTGTTGGTGTTGTTCTATATCTTTGGTCTGAAATCTGTGCAATGCCTTGGCCATTGCCAGCGCCTGTCCACCTTTTAATCCTATTAGAATTTTTGTTTTATTCATCATGCTCTTTACTCCGGCCTGCTCTTCAAAAACCCACTCGTAGCTACCCTACCTTAACATTGCCTTTCACACACATACATATATATATCTCAACATTGTCTTTTTTCTCTCTCTCTTCTTTCTCTTGTTTTGTTACGCTCTGTTCTACATTTATGTAAATTTCGTTTGCTTAAATTGAAATTAATTATTTGACAGTTGTCGCTTGCAAATGACTGAAGCGACGCCAGCTTTGGGTGCGAGTGGGATGGAGGGGAGGCAGCAGGGGTTGTAGGTGCACGACACTGCCTCCTGTCCAGCTGTCCAACTGTTCAACTGTTATTCATGTCTTTGTTAGTTTCTCTTTAGCTGACTTTGTGTCAGCCGAGAAGTCGCTTGTTATAAATGAAACGACGACAGAGTTAGCAGAAAAAAAAAATAAGGAAGTAATAGAAAAAATCGCTGGCATTTGCAACTTTTACATTAATTCTTGTTTACTTTTTTAAATGCTCAACAAATGACTGTTGTGTACGAGCGCTTAGTTTGCCACATTTAAAGTCATTTATCTTGCGGGAAGCGCTATGAATTATTGAGGAAAATGAATCTAACATTTTACCTGCAGACCCAGCGTTAAATGAAAATTTATTAAAGCTAGACTAGCCTGATTGAAGAAAGTCGACCAACCGAACCTTTGATGTTAGCCGAGTTTTTATATTAATTATTGTTAATTTTAAAATAAATTTAAAAGAAGTTTCTTTCTCTCAGTTCGCCTCAACAGCTTTTCCATCATTTTGCAGCTCATTCAATTTGGGTTTCCTTGCTTTTTTCTTCTTGCCAATCATTTCCCCTGCTTTGGTAATCCTTTTCGATTACCTCCTTAACAAACTCATATTCACACATAAAAAACAAAAAAAAATTTTACACACAAAACGAAATGCAAAACTAATTGAAATTCCACATAAACAACGAAATTTCAATGGCGAAACGAAACAGATAAATTGATAGATAAATACGAAAAAGAGTTAAATTATTTGGTAATGATAAACTAAACACGCAATTAAATTAAACAATTAAAATTGATTTTTGGTTGCAATTGAGAAGAAATTAAATATATACGGAAAAACAAGACACAAAGTGCGCGCAATTAACACGAGAAATAGTTGAAGAATTTTTTTTTTTTTCGAGCACAATGTATAAAAACATAGAAATCGAGAAATATATATAGAGACAAATGCAGACATTGAGGAAAAGAGAGATATAGGTAAAGAGAGACAGATATAGAGAGAGATAGAGGGCGAGGTAGAAAAGGAAATACTGTGGATTTTTTTTTTCTGTTTATGGCAATGACTAACTGAGCTGGGATATATTCTGTATTTAGGGGGACTTATTAACTAACTATTTCGGCCCATTTCGAACCTTGCACACTCACCTTGCAGATAGTGGGCCGGCAGTAGACCGTAGGGCTGCATCTGTTGATAGAGCTGCAAGTGAGCCGTGGGATCAGCGCTGAGGTAGGCAGCTGCTGCTGCGGCTGCCGCTGCGCCCGGCGTCTGGGCGTGATGCGGACTGCTGCCGAGCAATGCCGGTGCCAGCGAAGCGCTCAGAGCTGCCGTCGTCGGCACTGAGACGAGCGTCGGCGTCTGTGCTGCAGCGCCAGCGCTTTGTACCGGCGGCACACCGGCCAACGCTGCGGCCATCGATGGATTCGGGCGTTGAGCTGCCGGCGCTGCGGCAATCAGCGCAGTGGCCGTGTTCGCTGTGGGCGTGGCAGCGGCTGCTGCAGCGCCGCTGGGCGTTTGTGTCAGCGCACTGATGCCGCATATGGCCTGCAGCTGTTGCATCTTCTTTTGATCCTTCTCCTTTTGCGTGTCGGCGAACTTCACGACCAGAGGCGCCGAACAGCCTTCCATGGTCTGGCTCTGATGCAGGGCCTGAAACGAGGAGAACGAGCGAGGGTTTTATATACAGTTGGTTTATGATTGAATGATTGATTGTAGGAATATATGTATAATATAAATATAATTAACAGTGCTTTAATTGAATGACTGGCTTGTTGAATGGCTGATTAAGTTTATATGTTTATGTTGATTGATTGATTGTATATATAATTTTATATAAATTTTAATTGATTGTGATTGCTTAACTAATAAATGAATGATTTATATCTATATATATTTATCGATCATAATTGATATATTGAGTGATTGTGATTGATGAACTAATTAAGTGATTGTCTTACTGAAGTATAGCTGACATATTCAAGTTGAATGATTGTGATACGTTAACTTACAGATAAACTAATTAATTGATTGACTGTATTGTCAGATTGATTGACAGAATCAATAATCATAGCTTATATATTAGAAAGATTAAAGTTTACACATATATTTATTGGAAACCTGCTTAATGCAAAGCTGATTGATCACACAACGATAGAATCAGGAATAGATTGATTAAACGATTGCCGAAGAGGGATTTGCATTGGAGGATTGAAATATATATAGTTTGTTTGACTGATTGATTAATTGGCCAACAAGCTTGTTGATGGATTGATTAGTGATTGACATTCATTGGCCACTGGCCTATGATTGATTGAGCACGTCATTAATGGCTTGCACTTAGAGGAAATTAATCTAAGGCATTAAACTGAGCAGCGACATAAATTGCTTTACTTCCGAGTAATTCCAAGCTCAATCACTATACGCAAGCGTGTGTTTACGAATCGCAACTATAGAGGCTTATACACAGCCTCTGTGCCACGTTCCATTGAATGTCTTTGCCCCAATTTCAGGCCGTAGCAACTCCTTCATCGCCGGCACTCAAAGCGCAATTTGTGTGCGGCAGAGACTCAAACTGGCAAGAACTGAGTCAACTTTGGCTGTTTCCATAACTTTTATGGGTGGAACAAAATAATAATGACGCGAACTTAAGCTGGAGCAATAACAAAGCCGCTGCCTGGCCAAGGCTTCCTGCTGCAGGATCAGCCCGGCTGCTGTTGCTACAAACCGCAGCAATTTAGCCTAAGCGACTTAATTTACACCTTTTACTAAGCCCGCACAAAACAAACAAATGGACATGAAACTAAAACATAAACCAGGCCAAATCGCGCGCGGCATTAGATGCACTTCCGCTGAGGAGGATGCTGCGGTACGGGCTGCGCTACGGGCTGGTAGCGGTGGGGTAAGAGCCGAGCGCCTGCAACGGAATGGGCCCAAGCCACTTTAGTCATTTCCCGGTTTATGTAGACTTTATCATTGAGACCAGGCGACGAGCCTCGCCAACTTCCGCTCAATTGTGGCTGGGCCGACAGTTTGTGAAATTCTGGCTGCTGTGGCGCTGTGGCTGCCGCCTCTTGGGTCCTGCCTGACTGGCTGCCTGACTGCCTGGATCCAGTGTCCTGGGTCTGGGTATCAGGGTGTTCTGTTCTGGCACAGTCAACAGAAGTGCTCTTTAATTACATTGACTATAATTCTTGCGGCTGTGGCGCGACTTTTATGACCGGCTGCTGCTGTTACTGCAGTTGTTGTTGTTGTTGTCGCCGCTCTTATTGTTGTTGTTGTTGCATTTACAGCGTCGCATCCTGCTGCTGGCAACAAAGTAATTAGGCAAATTTCCGACTTTTTAAACAGGTCGCTAAAGTTGCCCGCCGTAATAACCTTGTTGGCAAGCCAAAAAGTTCACAAAAAGAAATGCCAACAGCGAGATGTGAATTCATTAAGTATAGCAAGAAAATCTTATTGGTTGATGAAAGAAGCATATAAATTATTGGTAAGCACTATTGATTATTATAGATATGCGATTTCTATTCAAGTCTGATTTCATTTGCTTTAAAGCTATGTAGAAATATATTTGAGTAAATGGAAAGTTTTACCAGGAATTCTTGTAACAGAAAAGAAAGCAAATATTAATAAGCGAATTTCTGTTTTTAGTTGCTCTGCTAAAACATGCAAAACATATATACATATACATATACAAAAGCAAAAATCCTCATTTTATTTTCTTCCTCATTTCTTTCGCCTGTCCGCCCACAATCTTCACTCTTTGCGCAGCTGGCTAAGCAAAAAGGCGAGTTAAATGACCTGGTAATCAACATGAAATTCCGCTTTACAGTCCGAGCCAAGTGCCCAGAAACACTTGACAAATTAGCGCGAGAACAAAATCTGCATGTGATGAGAAATTGTGCATCATCATTTGCTTAAAACAAAAAACGAAAAATAATGTAAAAAAGAAAACACAGAGCAGCAGCAGCAACCACTAAAAACCAAGATGGAGAAGAGACAATTGCTGGGTGGGCGTGGCTGTGGCAAAATAAATTGCTGGCTTTACAAACATGGCACATTAATATTAAATGCATTTCACTCTTCGCTCGCTCGCTCGGCATTGCATACTTTCAGGCGTCAATGGACTGCAATGACTTGCAGCTACTGCCCTGCCTCGCCCCCTGTTGGTCCTTCAGCTCAGCGTCCCGCACTCCTCAACCCTTTTTCCTTTTACCCATACAGCGCTGACTTGCCAAATCATTTGGCCAACAGAGGCAGCAGCAGCGGCAGCAGCAGCGGCAGCAGCAGCGGCAGCAGCAGCAGCAGCGGCAGCAGCAGCGGCAGAGGCAGAGGCAGCAGCTCATTGCGTTTGGCTTGGTGCGTGCTTCGCATTCAGTAATTTGACTTCAAATGCATTAAAATTGCACAACAAATACACACATACACACACACATGTGTAGGTATGTAGTGCTATATACATTTCTATATATATATACATCTATATTGTATATAATGCAGCTCGCCCGCAACACATTCATCTTGCAAAAGGCGACAAATTATGTGCAATGCACAGACACAGAGACAACATGTTTGACTCTCCCACACTTTGGTCCACCCTAAATGCAACCCAACGCACACACATATAGCCAGCCTCCCACTCTCTAGTTGCTTTTGGTGTGTGCTTACATGTGTTTGTGTTTGCCTGTCGGAAGTTTGTAATTTTGCCTGTTTCCGGCACAAAACTTGCATTAGTGTGGACATGTTAGTGTGAGTGTGTGTGTGTGACCATTGCAGGCTGGGGCACATGGCTTTTGCTATGGAATCTGTTTGGCTCTCTGCTGGGGCAAAAGCATTGCCGTTGACTTCTTCCGCTGCCAGCGGCGGCGTCTTGCTTGCATTTCTACTTCCTGTTGCCACTTCTGTTGTTGTTGTTGTTGTTGTTTATTTTGTTGTTGCTATTGTTGTTGTAGCTGCACGCGGTTTATGCCCAGTCACTTAGGCGTGAATAGGATATGCCAGACTAATAACTTTAATTTATTATATGCATGCTGAAGTGCACAAGTTTTCAATTAACTGTTGGATATACTCTCAAATATATGCAAAGTGGTTGACTATGAATAGATTTTCCAATAGGAATCAATAGTTAACGATGCACAGCTGAAGGGAATTGTATTTATTTTATTTTTGCTGTCTTATACTTCATAAATTGCGCTATTCACTTGCTGCATTTAAATGGCATGGACTAAAAACTAAATAATAATGACTATTTTAATTAAAATAATATTTAAAAATAAAATATATATGTTGTAAAATATGTGTGGTATTTTTTTTTTTTTTTTAAGGTACTTTTATTAAAATGTATAACTTCAGTTAAAAAAATAAAAATAATAATACGTCGACTAAGTAGCTTAAATAATTTATTAATTGCAAAAAAAAGCAAACAAACGAAACTAAATAAAGAATTGACTCTTTTGATTTGCATTATACTAAGCAAAAGTATCTAATGTCTTTTAGGGTATCCTTTGGGCTAAGCAGCTATTTGAATAACCGTAGCTTCTCGCTTTATATTGTCGTGGAGCATCGTGTTTTATATGCGCGACTCTTGCCGCCACAGCAATTAATCATTGCGACAGTTTTGCGATGCGGCCAGCACAGATACTTTCACACAAACACAAGCACACACACACGCACACACACATACGCGCAGACAATATGTAGAAATGACAGGCTTAAAGCTTTAAATGAACTTTACCCAAACGATCTACCACTTGATAATATGACATATATATAGAATACTCTATCCCAACTTACCTTGATCGCCCCAATGGCATTCTGTTTGGTTGCGAATGTTACGAAGGCGCAGCCCTTGCTCTGGCCCACCTGATCCCGCAGCACGGTGCACTCCTCGATGGTGCCGTGGCCCGTGAATAGTTGCCTCACATCGGCTTCCGTGTATTTTTTATTCAACATGCCAACGAAAAGTTTTCGCTCTGCAAATAACAAAAAAATACATAACAAATTATATGAAAATTTTGCAACATAAACAACAAAAATGTTACGAAAAAATTGTTAGAAATTTATATAAATGTAAAGTTCAAGTGGTAAATGTTCAAGTAGAAAAGAGAGAGAGCGGGAGAGAGAGAGAGAGCGGGAAAAGAAACAACATGGCGACAATTTTAATTGTTTTGCAGAGGGCGTAATGAATGGGGTATATTGGTTTTATAAATGTAATGTATTTGTAATAAAATATATAAATAAATAATTGTAGAGCAAAATTAAACATATATATATCTTGCATAAAAAATATAGTACTTTGTGTTTTGTATTATATAAATATATAAAAGAATGTTTTACAGATTTAACAGGGAGTGTTAAAACTTAGTTCGAGGAGTATAAACTTTACTTTCCACTTTCACAATCACTTATTCTGAAACCTTAACTGCCTTCCAGTCCTTTTATAGAGCATATTGCACTCGACTCACATTTAATTTTTAATTTTTTGTTTTTGTTTTTTGTTACTTAATGGCAAACAACAATTCATAATTATGCTCTTAAGGCAGTTTGTTTCCGTGTGGAGTGTGGAGCTCCAGCTCCAGTGGTGAGTGCCTCAATTTGTTGATTGGGGTGCTTGAGAACGCTTGGGTAAATAATAAATTGCAACTGATTTAACATGTCGTATGCGTAATATTTCATGAAACATATCAACCAAAATTAATCAGGCAACAACTTTAAAAGTGATTTTCTGCGCAATTGACAAGCAGCTGCTGCCGCTGCAATTGCAACTGCAACTGCAACTGTTGGCAACGAAAGCAACTTTAAGTTGCAACAATAAATCCAAGGAACAAAGCTCGATTGCTGCGCGGGCTCGCCCCAGTAGGGTATTTGTGTGAGCAAAGTTTTTGCATGGCAATTGCTTGCTTTATCTTGGCCCAAGCACAATACGCATACGCAACGTACGCCCATTGTCCGCCCACGGAGTCCACGCTTTGGTTGATGGGTGTGGGGGGAGGTGCAAAAGTTTTGGAGCGCACATGCAAAAGACTAAAAACGCAATCGCAACAAATCGAATCATTGCAACAACAAAGCGCATGAAAACTTTTCATTTTGCAACACTTTAGAGAAGCGTTCCCAAAGTTTCCGTTGCATAGACAACACTCATACGCAACGTGGTGTCGAGCGGTAGCGGAGTAGCGGCTACAATAGGAGGCGTTGCTAACCAATTCCAACTGAAGCTGGCTTCAAAAATAAACTAAGCGTGTATTGAAACCACTTGCCAAGTACCCTAACAAAGGCTAGGTTGACTATGAAGTAAGGACTGCTAAAAAAAAAAAAAACAAAAATAAAACAAAAATTAAAAATACATTAAATGAATAAATACATAATTTTGGCTATTTGTACACTGTTGGAAATACATTATAAATCTATTTAAAAATGTAATATTTGGTTTAATTCTTGTTATTATTATATTGGCTACTTTTGTCTTACTTTATTATAAATTAAATGGAAAACTAAATATTTTAATTTTTAAATATTATTTTGAGTGCTATTTATTATTATTAATTTTGATTTTCTGCTTCTAGAAGGATAAAACCATTCGATATACAATTTTAATGTATCTCTCAAGACATAGTTTTTTTAGGGTATTCAGTCTTTACCCTGTTTTAGCTATTTTCTCCACATTTTTTCGTTATCCTGACTTAGCCTCTTTCTTTACAGGGGTCGGGAGAAGACAAGCTTCTGAACTGCTGTCGTAAAGTATAAATATAGAAAATTGTGTCGCTGCAACGGAAGTGATTGGAAATTGTTGCGTTTCGCCTGCAAGACGAAGGTTATTTGCGTTGCTGCAGGGGCAAAATGGGTGGGGGAAGGGGAGTGTAGCTGTATGCGATGCATGGCACTCAGCTGCAGCCTCAGGTCTTGCCCGCTGGTCTCTTATCGAACAGAAAGTTTTTCAACACACACGCCTTGTGCTAAATACATACACACACACATATATATATATGGATTGCACTTTGTTCATTCTTTTGTTTGCCTGCCCGCCTGCCTGACACATGTGCGGGAAATTTATTTGAGGTTAGTTCAGGTGTGACACAGAAAGTAACATTTTATATATTTATTGTATGGATTTGCCATTTCAAGTTCCAACTTTCTCGCTAGCAAAAGATAACGCAAACTATGAGAAAAAAGAAGAAACAGAAGCAAAAGAGAAATAACAAATGAGAAAGGAATAAAAACGAACCAACTTATTGCAACTGACTCGGCGACAGGTGCAACGATGTTGTTGCTGAGAGCTTGTTAAGCACCTCTTTTGCAGCTGCCACACGGATGTGTGTGTGTGTGTGTGTGTGTGTGAGAGAGAGAGTGTGTGACCATTGCTGATTGGAAAGTTTTATGCGCACGTGATTTTGCACCGATAAAGCTGGCAAAGCCAAGCCAAGTATCTTTAAGTATCTGCAAGTATCTACAAGTATCTGCATTGTATCCGCGAATGCGCATTCGCTGCTACTGGCATGCCGTAAATTTCAGCTAACGATAAAGCAACATCAATATATGGCGGTGTTAGGTTGCTGCCAGCTCCTATGCACTTCACTTGGGACATAAAAAATAATGCTTTAGTGTAGGCTATAGCAGACAGATTCATATAAATTGGGCAAGCTTTTAAGAAATCAAATTCTGTGGGAGTTGGGTAAAAATAGAAGATGGATCGATTAGATTCACACAGATAAAGGAAAATTAATACAGTAACACATTTTATTCGAACTTAATTATAAATAGGGATCTATAATTTATTTTAAAAATTATTCAAGTAACATAATTCTTTTTTTTTCAAGTTTTTTGTTTAATCTTGCCCTCAATATATTTGTAAAGCACTTCATACGCCTACAAGCTGCAACTGAACCTATTCACATTTGTCATTTATGCATTCACATGCATAGACCTTAACGGCCACTGCATTATTTCAGCTGAACGCAGTCGCTCACTCACCCAGGCACCCACACACTCGGAGTTTTCTTAGCGAATTACACTTGCTGGAACCTCATTTAACCAAGTCACGGCCCGTCTCGCTTTTCGGCTGTGGCGCAACTGTAGCTGCACTTGGCCCATTACAGTTGCAGGAATTGCAATTTCACGACAATTACCGCAAATTGGTTTCCTCAAACCGGCAACGCGCACTTCGTCCTCACGAGTTGCAGCTGCTCGTTTTGGTGCCCTGCCTCTGTCCCTCTGCCTCTGTCTCTGCGCCTTACAATTATGCGAAGAATGAAATGCGCATAAACTTTCTGCACAGGCTTCATGCGGCATATAATTTTTGGGAAAACATCTCCCGCAGTCCACAAGCCCATCCACGCTTGGCGCAGTGCAAGTTCATCTGACCTCGCTGACTTGGCATATGATGTCGTTGACTGTCTTAAGATTTATGTGCCGAGTCAAAGACGGAAACTGCACTTATGTGTGCTTCCCCATCTTTATCGCAGCACTCACACACTCACACACTCTCTCTCTCTCAGTCTGTGTGTATATGAATTTCACTTCACACTTGACACATCAAGTTTTGTGTCAGAGTTGGCCTAGCCGGAAAAAAAGAAAATTAAAAAATGTTTTGCACTCAAAGTTTGAGCACAATTTTGTGTTTTTATAACCATGATCTTTTATCTTATTGCAGTTGGCTGGAAAGTTAACTCGGGCAGGCTCTCCATTCAATTTTCATCGCAATTAAATTAACATTTCCATTTTCATATTCTTCCGGCTTTGCTTTAAGATGTTGTAAGCCAGTGCCGTACGGAATTTTCATTCTTGCAACAATTTGTTTGCCGTGCATAAACAAATTAAGCCCTTTTGCAAATGTTTACCGGCTAAGTATCAGATGCCAGGCACACTTTCAGACCAACAGACACACATGCAGACAATCAAACGCACTTAAGTATGCTATGAAAATTACAAAACATTTAGAGCAACGACTAAGGTAGGATATCCATGACTACACTGAATATTGCACACTCTTTTGGACAAGAGAAATTTGTGGACAAAATATGTGTTCTAAAATGAATAGAGAATATATTTATTAATAAAGTAACATATAAAATATAAACCAAATATACATTTTTATTTTGTTTCGTGAACATCAAATTTCTCTCATTGTATTAACTTGATCCCAAGATAAGCAATAAGGAAAACAAAAGTCCATATATTAACCAGAGCAGAGTCATTTAGAGTTGCTAGCAGAATGCTGAGCAGGAAAATAAATGCCTGAGGCGTTTAGGATTTGCATAAATATATTTATGCACTCAGATGCAAACGTGCAACATTTCGGGCACAACACACATACGCACAAATAGATATATCTATGAAGGCAGTTATATGGATTGCATGGAAATTATTTCAAATGTGCTGTTGCATTAAAATGCTTTGTTTTTTGGCAAGCAGCAGAGCAAAAAGCAGACCTAGCGCAGCGGAGAAATATTGAGATAAATATATATGTGTATATAAAGTCAAATCGTAACTAGAGGCCAATCGAGTGAGAGAGAGAGAGAGAGAGAGAGAGAGTGTGAGTGCGGGGCAGGGGCTTGACAAGCGTGCAACATTATTCAAAGCATAGCCTACAGGCATTACGGCAAAAGCTGTAAAGCAATACATGTGTAAAAACAGATGTGAACAAGCTAAGGCTAATAGCTAGCATAGTAATTGTGTATGTGTCTGTGTGTATGTGCTTCTGGGCTTAAAACTAATAAATGCCAAATAAATGCGGCATTAGTTCAGCTCAAATAGTTTCTCATATTTTGGCTGTTAGCACAGTTGGACTTGAAGAGAGTAAGATTTAATATCATGTAATAGATATTATAATTATTATATTAAAATTATTTAATATGCATAAAATGGCAATAGTTATACTAGGAATTGATTTAGATTGACCTATTTCATAAAATTTAAATTTAAATGTAAATGTAAAAAGCAATCGTATTACGCCAACGAGAGAATGACTTTTTATTTATTTTTTTTATGTTTATGAAGACCATAAGGAGTACTTCAGTACCCTCTTTGTGAGGGATAGAAGAAAACTTAATTATTAAAAGTTTGGTATTCGCTAAATTTTAATTACGGTCATATTTAATATTTATATATACATATATTTATTTTTTGGCAAGCTAGCTACATTTGTGGCTTACAGGGCGTATGACTTATTTCATGGATATTTTATTCTATTATTTTTTGTATGTTATACATTAACATTAATTAAAATGCGTCTGTTTTTTATATTTTCTTGAATTCATGGCCAGCTTTTTTAAATTGTTATTTAAAAAATTGTGATAACTCCAAACGCATTTCATTAATGTATAATTTTTTTGTCGCATTATTTTTTGTTCTCTTGTTCTTCTTACAACTGGGAAATTAGTTGAAATTCCGTTTTAATTTCCGTTTCCGCTTCAACATTTTCCGCTTGTCAATTATTGCAGAATTATGCAAATATGTTGTCGGCGCAGCACAGAAAAAAATAAATGGAAAAACGGACTTGAAAAATGTCGAAAATGTGCGCATTAAATGCGTCATCCGCAGTTGCGCCTCTCCTAAAGTTACAGGGAGGGGCGTGGCATGCCGCCTAATTGAATTAAAACATAAAAATTTTTGCACCGCAATAAGTTTTCGGTTGCGTCTAACGATCCCTCGGGGTAAGCTATAAACTTTACCCGCCAAGGGAGCCGAATTCGGCGGCACCTCCAGAGATAAGAAATGAGCACTGAATGCCATTATGGTATGTTGTGTGTGTGCGTGTGTGTGTGCGTGAGTATTCATATAACGCTTGTTGTGCTGTCTTTTTACTGCAATTTGATATGCTGCAGTAACTTTGAGCTTGTTTTGACTTTAAGCTCTATTAAAAACACATTGCACATAAATGTTATTTTACTGTTAAGCAGCTTAACAGCCTTCTATAACACTCGAACTCTTAGTTATGTAAGTGGGCTTATCAGCACTGGAGAGCTAAAAATATTTATTTATATTCGATTACAAAAATTGACCGTAATATGCTAAACATCTAGGTAATACACATACATATATGTATATGTATATGTATGTATGAGAAAACTAACTGTTTGATAGAGTTTTCATTTTCGATAATTAATCAACACTTCAGATGCATAAATATTGCTGAATACCATAATTTATTCGGCTTATTAGCATAATTTCTATATATATTGCTATTATTATTGTATTTCAATTCCCATTAACTTTTCACATTTGATCATAATTTTTAAGAATTTTCTATTTAATTTTTATTTCATTTCAATTGAATTTGAATGCAGCATTTCAATGTTAGCTGGCAGCAATTATGCCATTAAGTACGAGTGTAAAAACAAAATTACGTGGCTGCTGCTGCTTTTGGCTCGTTGTTCAACACTTTTGGCAACTCATTTGCAAAATATGCAATAAATATTTATGCAGCTGAGGCGGCGGTGGTAACAGCAGCAGCAGCAGCAGCGTCAACTACTTTACAACACAAACAGATACAAATATGTGAAAAGTTGCTCCTGTTCTATACACACACACGCACACACCCACACATACGAATAACCAACTGGCAGCACTTGAATGGAGGCGCCACATGTGCATTGCATTCTCATTTATTAAGTCTGCCGTTTTCGCTTAATCTGAACAACAACAACAACCATAACAACAGCCACAAATTGCAGGCTCTGCACATTTTTCGTGCATCTTGTGGCATGTGTTTATGTTATAATTGAAAACGGTAAACGCTAAACGGTAAATGTTTTGAATCTGCGGATCATGCAAATTGCATCCTTCACTCCAGGCACGCGAATGTATTATGCCACAAATTTTAATTGAAACTTAGCAGAGCATGTTTCTTGCCGCAGCCTGAGCTAAGACGACAAAGGAGTTTTGCATTGTTTAGCTGAAGCCTTAGATTTAATATACATTTGCATTTTAAGTAATTTTGAAGCCGACGTGTATCATGCAAAATGCATGTACATTATCAAATATTCAAATTAAGTTACACGTATTTAATAAATTAATTTATATTCTGGTAAACTTTCATGGTTGTGAAGCTATAAAATAAATGTATATTGTATATTATATATTAAAGATTAAATTAAATTAAAATTAAATATATATTTTTAACAAGATTTTTATAGTATTTATTTTG